ATACAATGGGATTAAGAAGTCCGATTTTGGGGGAAGATCTCCAATGCCAAGAAAAATTGGAATTTTGGAGCACAGTGAGCCTCAGATTTCTTTCTGAAGCACGTTCTGCCATGTGAGAGAAGAAGTAGATGAGAAAAGAGATGACATTCCTTCAGAATGCTATTTCTGTTCTAAGAACTTGAGAAGTGGAGTATATTAACAGAGCTGTGTTATTTAAACAAAGATTTACCATTTACTTTTTTCATCTTTTATTTCATAATGTGTTTATTCCACACCCTGCCTTTATGGTACCAAACTTTTCTCTGATATGACAAAAAAATCTGTCACATGACAACCAACTTTAATAGTTGGAAGACTGCAAAGCTGGAATATAAAAAGCTGACTATCAAGCAGTAAACTCATTATAACCCCACATTATCAACATTTAAAGAAAAACAGAAAAATACTGGCTAAGATACTCTTTTTTTCCTTAGGTTATTTATATTTTGAGTCTGGCAAAAAACCTGTGAAAAATCTCTTGTAAGGGACGGATGCTACATTGACACTGAGCCAAGGGAAAAGCTTTACAGTAGAAATTGTTCATTGACTCTGTGACTACAAGTGTGGAAAAGCAGAGAGAATTAGATAACATTAATTCAAGAAACACAGCAAAGCCAAGGCACGGGATTGGTGTATAAACAGCTTTAACTGTATATATTCATCTCAGTGGTTCTGAAAACAAATGAAAGATTACTGGGATAAGATTATCTGTAACAAATGCAAGGAAGTGTATGAAGTAGTTGGAAAAGCTTTTTATAGTAGAGCCGTTAAATCTAGTTAATTGTGTTTGATTTTTGTTTTCATAATTACTTCCATTGTTCCACTGAACTCCTGCTGAATGTCTGACATCTTAGAGCTGTCATGCCCTAATTAAAAAAATAAATGAATAGAAACTGAATACCAACGTGATTTAGTGTTGTGTTACATGCTTTAATATATGTCCTGCTCCTACTAGTTGAGAGCTACTTAGAATCATAGAATCATAGAATAATTAGGGTTGGAAAGGACCTTAAGATCATCAAGTTCCAACCCCCCTGCCATGGCCAGGGACACCTTGCTCTAAACCATATTACCCAAGGCCTCGTCCAACCTAGCCTTGAACGCTGCCAGGGATGAAGTATTCACATACTTCATACTTAGCTGAGGAGATAATCTTTGATTTAAAATGAAAAAGCCACTATGATAAGGTAGTGTGGTTAAGGGAAGCATTTGACCATATGTGGTGGTAACAAAAGTAGTTCTGTTTGCTATTGCCATGTGGTAAGAAGGTCAGGAGTAAGTAAAGAGAAACCCAATTTATGTTAATTCCAACTGTGACCCCTCACACAGGCACTGTCCAAGTTAGTAACATTTTATAGCTCTGTTAGAAGTAGTCAAGGATGAGCTGGCCTGAGGTTGCTGTATTAATGTCTAATGATCTGTACATGTGAAGTACGATTTATAAATCTTGAACTGGGTTTATTGTGGAAGTGTAGATCATTTGACTTACAGCAAGGCATACATGCGTGATGTACATCCAGCTGTTTTTGTGGATATTACTTATTTAATCAGATTAATTTCTAAGATGCGATTATACAACGCTCCTGGAGCACATGCAGTGCATTGAATTCATGGACCTTTCCTGTATCTGTGACACAGACATAAAATCTCACTGTGTCTGGAGGAGTGAAGCTGAGGGCATGTTTCAAAGTACAAATCCCTTTCCAGAAACTCTCACAACCATTCCCATTCAGTCTGAGGCTAATTTTGATCTTGCTTGCTTTGAGATAAACCCAGTAAAGGTGGCTGAAGTTGCAGATGTTCATGTAGGCAACAAATAAAGAGAAGCCACTGGCTCTGTTTTGATCTGAATATTGCACCTAGGTCCTGTGCTTAAATTGGCCAGTTACTTCCTCATCCTATTTTTTTTTTCTTTCGTATGAATTTCTGAGTGCAGGCATTATGTTAGCACAGTTTTTAAGGCTGGAAGCTGTCAGGAGGAACACTGCATAGATTTGTGTAAAGAACATGAACTGTCTTAACAGTTTAAACCACGACAACTTGTTATTACTGAAAAGACTAATATAGCTAGCAATGTCACGTACAAAGTAGCTGCTTTCTAAGACCCTGAGTCAGGTAGGACTGTGGCTTGAGGAGCAGTGGATGCTATAGAAGTCTAAAGGCAAGTTCATATGACAGAAATATGTGCTTCAGGCAGTGTTAGCAGTCACTTTCCTTTCATGATGGGTATCAATCTGGCCACATGTTGAAGTGAAAGGAAAACTGTGTCAAAGGACTGCAATATCTTCTTTCAGTTTATTTGACAATGGTGTGTTAGGTAAAAATCTTTAAAAAGGAAAACTGATAATCATGGAGTCCAAAGCTTTTCTTTTAAGCCAAGCATCTTCATTACCATTCATGGGCATTTTATATAGTTGTTCGTGTAAGGTTTGCACTTGACTCACATGATGCATTGCCTAGTTTGTAAAAATCTACTCAGCAGGTGTGGTGATATTACACACTGAAAATGAATATTTAAGACTCAGGGGAAACTATTTACAACTTTGGGGAGGGGGGAAGGCAGTATAAACTTCCTTTAAAATAGTTTATGTCTCTTTTTCCTTTTAAAACACCATTAAAAGAGATATATCCATGTTTCCTAGGGTGTTCCATCACGCGCTGACTAGTCTATGTTTTTCCCAAATATCTTCCTAGTTAGATAAAACATGTGCATGAATGTGCAGAATGATTTATCTGTTTTGTCTCAGTGATGACAATCTGTATTGAGCTGAATTTGCCACTTTCCTAACTTTCCTTTATAGCTGAATTGGGAGTTCAGTGTTGCTTCTTATACTTTCTTAATTTGTTGTGGTACTTCACATTTATGGGGTGGAAAAGCTAGATTTCATCCTCCGTGTTGACTGCTCAGAAACTTGCATAGATATTTAAGAAAATATATAGGAAAAACAGAATTGTTTATTACAAATGCAGCCCCATGATGAATCCACCTCCAGCACCATAACCTCAAGCTTCAGAGCCTGGTTGTCATTACCCCCGAAGCTTCTATCAGTGTAGTTGTAACAGCATGATTTCAGGAACATCTAGTGTTGACTCTTACTTTGGTACCATAGGAGCAGTATCTGTCCAGTGTTGCATTACAAGATGTGGCTATTCAAAGATGACCCTGATTGTGAGTTTATATTTTCAAAGATTTATTTGCCCATGCATAGTCTGATGTCAGTGGTGCATTTGGTGATCTTAAAGGAAAAAAAAATAATTTCCTACTTAAAGTGATTCTGTGCATTTTAAAATGTACACACGTGTAGCAAGTGTAAAACACAGAAGCCAGGAAAGTTATCTGTGTTTTTCAAGTAGGCATGTAAAGGATTTTCTTCAGAGTAGTAGTACAAGCTGTGTGATGTAAGGAAAAGAAATTAAATATAATCATTATTCAGATACAGTGAGTAAAGATGAAAGTTCTCTGCAATTTATCTACCAAATGTTTGTGTCTGACACAGTGACTCTAATACCACAGTTGTTAATATTAAGTCTGTCCACATATTTTGTGCAAAATGTCTGTGGTGAGGCATTCATTGTGTTGAAAAGCTGACACAATGGAATGCTTTTTGTGCTGGCTCTGGACAAATTACAGTCCATTTTATTAGTTCCAAGGTCAGAGTACTATCATGGCTCTTAAAGTGTAGAGTAGTGAAGTGAGCCCTACTGAATGAGAAACAGCTCTAAGTTTGCCTGATTATTGCAGCCAGGTATCTCCAATAGCAGAGTTCTTCATGTGAGCCCATTTCTCTTGTCTAAAATTCTCATTTTTGCTGTAATTTGATTTCAGAATGACTTTCACTGCAGTATATGTACAGTTGTAGAGCTCAGCCATATTTTCAAGGTACACAGTAGCCATTGTCAGTGTAGATACGCTTTCATTGCCTATTTCAGCTCTACTGCTAGTTTAAGCATAAGCCAAAGGGCACTGTTATTAAACACCTTATACTGCCAGAGACTGTGTTTCTTTCCCCGTCATTCTGGTAGACCCAATTCTTTTTTTGAAATCAGAAAACATAAGCTCTTTCACACAAAACTTGGAACTAGATTTGCATGGTCTTAATGCATCCCTTTTTTCCTTACCCTCTCTTGTCTTAACACTAGCCTTTTCTCCTAATGCGAAACATTATTTTTATGCCTTGCAAGCCTGCACTGGTTTTTCTGTGAATAAGAATCATCAGATTATTTTGCCATCTTGGCCTCTCTGAAATGCAGCATGATTGTTTTAAACAAATTAAGATCAGAATTACTCTTTTTTTTTTCCTCATAAAAACACTGGTACTTTCCAGAATCCCCTTCTTTTCTCACATCATGCAATCTAAAGTTCTTGATACCCATTTTGTGACTAATGAAGCTTTCTTGCCCATTTTGCTCTTCTCTCCTTCTATAAAGCAGTTCATCAGCATTGCTTTTTGATTAGCAAAGTGAGTCATTTTAATAACATCCATCTGCACCCAAAGTGTACCTTTAATTCTTTAGTTCACTCTTTTGAGTTCATGACCACCTGCAGCCAGCTCATTGATTCACTGGTGTGATTTTTGCTCTTTGGGAGCAGGTGAAGAAATAGGGTGGCTTTCTCTTATCTGCCCAGGGGCACCAGCACACATAAACATCAAAGGACCCAGAGTTTCTGTAGAGTAAAAGGCTGGAAAAGAAACAAATAAAGGTGATGTCTGGTTGTAGGACTAGCTCAATGTGTATTTAGGTTGATACAATGTGTTTTATTGACTTAGTGTCTTAATCTGAATTCTAAAACTTGCTTTATTATTACTTAGTCCTGGATAATTTCAAAATGGGTATTGCTTTGCCGTTGTTTGAACTCTATCTTTAGCCTTGTCCTTTTATCTCTTTAGGAACGCTGGTGTATCTAAATTTCTGTATAGGGATAAGCTGTTAAAATATTTTATTTTTCCTTTCTTTTACAGGGAGTAATATGTGGGAGGCTGTGGACTATTTGCTTCCGACATAGGAACAGCACTGGATTGGGAATCTGCACTCCTGAGAGAATGCTGGGAATCTGCAGAGGGCGACGGAAATTCCTGGCTGCCTCTCTGACCATCCTTTTTGTCCCTGCCATTACGTGGATTTATCTGTTTGCTGGGAGTTTTGAAGGTAGGAGGAGAATAAGGGCTGGAGGTGGAAGGCTGGGGTGTTGACTGTATCAGGGCAGACAAATGTGGATCATTGATTTTATCAATTTTATCAATCATTTGATTTTATCAAAATAAATCTGAGGATTTATTTATATATAAAGAGGAAGTAGTTTGCAAGGTGCAGATTTCAATGAAGGAGCTTCCTTACCATGTTCTCACTGCTGAGGAGGATGTAATTCCTGGCCCCAGTTATTTGATTTTTTTCTCATTTTTTGACTTGTAAAAAGTGAAAGAAACCCAAACAAATCCACCTTACTCATTTCTTTTCAGAGTTTTCTAATTTTTAAAAGTTGAACTATCCTATGCCCTGTAAGATTTTACTTTTAGTTGAAATTAACATCTCATTTCAGTTCTGCCCTTAATATTATTTTACAGTGTTTAAAAATATTTATTCTGGGCACTCTTTACACATCTTGTTTTTATGGACCTGAGTGTTAGACCTTATATATATAGATGATACTGAGCCTAGTTCTGGGACGCAAAGCAGGAAGTGTACCTAGCTGGAGGGCCTACAGGACAAGCCAGGAAAACGTGTGTCTGGCATGGTTCTTTGCATCATGGACTGTGATAGGTCATGGTTACTCAGCTGCAGGCTCTCTTGTCATGTGGTCCATTGTGCTGCTGCTCACTGGACCATGGAACACATGGTCGTACCTAGTTTGGAATGTCAGACAGTGGTGGGATGCTACTCTATGAAGCGTAAAAATGTAGGAGCAAATAACTCTATGAAATGTTCTCTAGGCTCCTGATTTGGTTATATAAATGCATACTTGGCCGAAACCTGCAAACACATGAGGCTCTTTTCTTGCCTTTGTGTGAAGGTTGTTAGTTCTAGCCACTGCCTCTATGTTTATTGTGATAGGAGGCTGAACACAGAAAATCAGCAAATACCTGCATAAAAACTCTTTATACAAAATCAGTTTAAATCCATATCATTCTGGGTGGCAGTGGCCTGCTATAGCTGGAGTATCTTTGTCCTTTTTTCGGGTGGAGATCCTCAAGCTTCTAGGTACATTGACTTGCAGCTGTAAAACTAGCACTTTTTATAATCAGACTTGGAATAACCACTACTTTGCCTTTTGTCTGTCTGATGACCTCTTTTTCTGGCTTTACAGGAGTTCAGTAGTAATACTTCAGTTAGGTGAGGTTAGAAGATGCAGGATCTCCTATTTCTTGCTATGTAGTTTTGAGGGGGGGGGTTGTATTTTTTATTTCTTGATTTTAAATGAGATGGAGCATTTTATGTTTGGCAATAGGTGTGTTGTTTTGGCATGACTGGAAAAAGCTGTTCAGCCTTTGTAATTCTCTCAGCACAAGGAAAGGTGTTTCAGCTGTTTAAAAACTGTTCAAATGCTAGTTTACAGTCTGATAATTTTAAAAAGGCATTGTTTAAAATGTCAAACTTCTTTCATCTAACCTTGGCTGATGAATTTGTGCTTTGTTTCAAAACAAAATTGGATTCCAAGTTAAATTACAAGGACGTGTGAATATTTTTAGTGTGCATTACATACATTTCTGTATTAGTTACATGCCAGGTACAAATATTTGTTTATGCAAATTTATTTGCTTACTTAAAATTCTGCCTTAATGGGCAGTAACTCTATGAGCTTATTCGAGGATGAAACACTTATGGGATTCATGTTAAATTGCAAATATAAAGGGTGCTGGCTGCATACTTGAAAACTAATGATCTGGCAGGCAGAACAGTACTGATTGTGTTTGATTTTAAAAGCTGAGCAAATGCAAGCCTCACCTTTTTGCTTTTAGAGGAATATTATGCTGCCTTGTTGTAATGACTATTTTAATTGTGTCCACAATTGATAATGGCATGCTGCTTTAAATTCCTCTGTGTGTAGAATCCTTTGTTTTTACAGAGTGCTCAATACAAATCTTGAAATTCACTGCTAAATGTTATTTGAAGTGACTTAAAGCTCTCAGTGTGAATTAATCTTAAATGCAAACCAGGGAGCAAAGCCCATTACCTATTAGGAAGCCTTCTACTGAAAAATGACTGGAAATTAGATACAAATAGTAACTCTACCTGTTATTTTTCTGTATCTTTTTTTGGTTTGGTTTTTTTTTTTTTTTTTTGCATTTTTGGATGGGGCATGATTGTTGGTTAAAAACTATAATCAGTTAAAATATTCATTTAACCAAGTGATAGCTAGGATTTTCCTTAACTTGTAGGTATTACTGACAGGAAGTTAAAGCCTTTTTGTCATTTTATCAGCTTTTTGAGGTGTACTTCACTGTGGTTCACACAATGTACTTATGTTTTAAACTGTCTGTGTATGGTTGAGTAAAAATGTCCCACAGCAGCAGCGTGCCTTGATTTGAAACCAGCAGGAGTGGGAAGTCCTCTCTGTCTTCTGGCATTAGCTTCTTTGGTTAATAACATGCAGCACCAGAAGCTTTCTTTTCAGCTCGTTTGGTTTCAGATTAAAGTAAATGGTTCTTGTTATACTTTTATCCACTAAGTTAAAGAAATTGTCAGTGCCTAGTTTCTTCATAGGCTCAAATTATTCAGGGTGGAAGGGGCCTCAGGAGTTCTCTGGTTAAACTTCTGCTCAAGGCAGGGTGGGCTTTGGTGTCAGGCAGGATTTCTTAAGCCTTTATCCAGTCATGTCTTGAAAACCTCCAAGCATAGAGACTACACTGCGTTCGTGGTCAACTTGTGCCACTGCTTCACTGTCCCCAGGTAGACGAGTTTCTCCTTACACTTAGTTTGAACCTCTTTTGCTTCAATTTATGTCTGATGTCACTCATCTCCGCACCATGTGTCACTGTGAAGAGCCTGGCTCCATTGTCTTGCCACTTACTTGTTAGGTGTATTTCCATTTGAAGGTACTTACATGTAGTCGAACCACCTCTCGGTCTTTTTTTCACTAAGCTAAAAAGGTTGAGCTCACCGAGGTGTAATGGGAAAGAATGTTGTGCTCTTTTTTTGTATTATTTTGCAGGGTTTTGTTCGTTTGTGTGTTTCAGGGTTCTAGAATCAAATATCTCTCTTCGGTACTGGTATCTGCAGTGCTTTGTCCTGGAATTACTTCTTCTTGATGTAATTAGGGATTACATTACTTGTCTATGTGTTTATATGTAAGAAGTTATTAATTTGCCATGCCATGGCAGTGGGATCACATTTAGAAAGCCTCTGTAAGCTCTTTGTTAGTCAATCTGTAATACAAAATATGGGCTAATGTAGTCAAATCCCACGTTATGCTTTTTAAATAGTTTGCAACTCTTTAAGAAGAATTTTATTTCATTTTGGGTTTTGTTTCTCTGGTCAGAATGTACACTGCAGCCTCATACTGCACAGTTGTCACTCAGACACTACCAGTAAGACTCTTTCCTTGGAATATTCATTGGAGGAGACATTACCCAAGCTGTGACAGTGACAGCTACTAAAAGCTTCATTAATCATGAATATATGTCTATTAGGGTTATGAACTAGAATATTAAAGAGGATTTTGAATATTGTATAGCCTTTGAATGTAACTGGTTACTGTTGTTGTTTTTAATAATGCATGAGGACAGTGTAATTTCAGTTATCAGTTACTTTGAATGAAAAAGCTAATTGTTCCAACATTCCTAAATCACATTCAAAGGGGAAGGTAATAGAGTAGAAAGGGCGGGGTGCATTTAAAACAGGAAAGAGGAAACAATCAAATAATATATGGTGAATTTTCATTAGAAAGAATATAGCAGTTTTGGTAACCAATAGTAGCTCCAGAAATAGCATCGTTTTCCAAGCTATATGCAGCAGTATCCCCTTTACCATAAAAGTCATGTAAAATGAAGACTTGGAACTGTAATTTGACACATACTGTCTAGATTACTGCTTCCTCAAAAAAAAATGTCCCCTGTGGCTATGTGGCCTCAGTCACCTCTGTTTTGAAAGGATAACAATACACTTTAATTACCAGTTTCTGTTCTGTGGACCCACTCAAGGTTGAAATCCCCAAAGTGGCTGTGGAGGGTTTCTGTATAGAACATATTTCACAGGAAAGGAAAGTCAGTAGTGTAACCTTAAGATAAAGACTTGAGAAGTTGTGTGAGACACTACGTAGGAGGTCTGTGAGAGGGCAGGAAGCTCACTCTGTGTTTTGTCAACTGTCAAGGTAACATTTTAAAAGCACGACCTGCCTTCTTTCCTGGGACTTGCTTTCCTCAGTTGTTGTTTTTTTCACTTCAGTGTTGGGCAACTGTAATTTTCTGACTACATTTTAGCCCAAGTAATCTGTAGAGACATGATTGAAGCCAGAGTTGGGCAAACACCTCATAAAATACAATAAAGTAAAATGAAGGAAGGCTGCAAATATTCATCTTGGTATTTAAATGGCTTCACTTTGATGCTGTTCACACTCTTTTTGTGTATGCTTTCCATAAATATTCTAGTGAATATGTTAATTGGGAAAAATGTCTACAGAAACAATGAATATCCAGTTTTAATATTCATGGGAAGCAGATTTTGAAATCATATTTGTGAATACTTGAATCAGAAAACTGATTCTGGGAGTTCAGCTTTATAGAGTTAAGTGCCAAAAGTTTATCACATGATCTTATGTGCGTGATGAAAACTGCTGAATTTTTAATGCTTGCAATAAATTGCTCATAGGAAGAGGCAAACAAATAATTAATTGCTAAACTGTCTATCAGACACTTGCAACTGATTAACAAACATCAGAAAATAATCCCTTCACAGACAATGTAATCAGAAAGAGGCAAAATCTGAAATTGCTTTTTTTATTACAATTCGCTCAGTTTGCCTGAATTTTATCTGCTGTGTGTCTCAGCAGGATTAAACAAGAAAACTTAATCCAGTGTGCATTTAAAGTAGAAGTTTCAACCTCTGCATTTATCACGTCTTTTTAATAAAGTTCTTAGAAGAGAGGTCCTGAAAGGGCTCCTTTGCATATAATAAGGATGTTACTGTGATGGGTGCTGAACAAGTTTACATGT